CATTAGGCAAGCCTCAGAAGATGCCCCCATCTCCTGACTTAGGGCTTCTGGGGCACTGGCTGAAAGGAGAGTGTGGTTCAGATTGGCAGGTTTGCGTAAGGTTTCCTGGTTCCTGCTGCTCTGAGTCTTAGTCACCGGGGTCTGTGGCACAGGATGCAGCTAGCCATGAGACAAATAGCTGATCCCACTCCGGTGTAGATGGAGAACTTACCACAATAGAGAGAAAGAAGAGCAGATGCTCTTGACACCTGGTCCAAGACAATTTCATCTCTGCCTGATGGCCTTTATAGTCCCTGGAGTTTGCTCTCTCTCTTCTTTTCTTTCCTTTTCTTTTCTTTTTTCTTATTTATTTATTTGCCAGAGAGAGAGAGAGAGAACACAAGCAGGAGGACTGGCAGGCAGAGGGCGAAGCAGACTCTCCACTGAGCAGGGAGCCTGATGTGGGGCTCAAGGGATTATGACCTGAGCTGAAGGCAGACACTTAACGGACTGAGCCACCCAGGCATCTCTGCTCTCCCCTTTCAAGGCAGTCTGGAAGTGCCAGGGGATTAACACCTCCTGTGAGGAGCCCGTAGCCAATGACTGATGGGGGTTGGTGTATAATATATCAGCACCCCATCCTTGGAGGGGTTAACTCTTAGGTGCTTACAGTACACTGTCTCCCAGACATGCCAAGTGAACCTGAGTTCCACGTGCCCACAGGGGTGACGTTCTTGATAGAATCCCCTCTGTGCCTGTCTTGTCTTCCTCACCTCACTTTCCCAGGCCCCCACTCTGAACTCTGGAATCATCTCCCCAAGGAATTACTTCCACGAGTATCTTTGTTTCAGGCCTGTTGCTAAACCAAGACAAAACACATGTCCGGTCCTGTCCTGAGCAGGCAGGCCCCGTGTAGGGAAGCTGGATGCAGAGCACCAGGTGGGAAGAAGGCCTGGCATGCAGAGGTGAGCAGGGGACAGACAGAGCAGGGCTGTATGTCCAAGCCCAGTGGTCCCCATCCACTCTCAGAACGTGGCTCACTGAGTGTCCCGGAGTCTGACCCATACGATTTGTAATTCCTTCCTCACTGGGGAGGAGATGGTGGCAGGCACAGTGATACAAAGTTTGAGATTTCCCTCAGGTTCCCAGCCCAGCCCACCACTGAGAAGAAAAAGAAAAGCCCAAACAAAAAGATTCCCTTCTGGGCTTCTGGGTGGCTCAGTCAGTTAAGCATCTGCCTTCAGCTCAGGTCATGATCCCAGGGTCCTGGGATCGAGCCCCACATTGGGCTCCCTGCTCAGCGGGGAGCCTGCTTCTCCCTCTCCTGCTCCCCCTGCTTGTGCTCTCTCTCTCTCACTGCCAAATAAATTTAAAAAACCAAACAAACAAAACCAGATCTCCTTTGCTGCCTCTCAGGTTTATCCCTGGCTGTTCCCACGTCCCTGTGGCAAACATTCCAGGCTGCCCGTGCTCAGAACTCCCCGCAAGCTCACCTCCTGCGGAAGGATGGACTGTTATTCGCCTCTAGTTCATATTCAAAGCTGCTTATGCCATTCCCAGCCACCCCTCCTCGCTTTGGGATTCATCATGCTAGGACTTAACTATTCAAACAAAACAGTTCTTAAATTCTTCCACTTCCTGGTAGGAACACGACTCAGAGCTCCGAAAAACTTGTAGTGCAGCCTTTTGAGTGTATTTTATTAAAAGGTAAGATTATGCTCGAAGCAAAGGTTAGGCAAACATTTGCTGAACGCCTCGGTCCTCAACCGGCAGGGAACATTTCCTCAAGTCGGAAGCTGAGTAAAATGGCTGCCAGGTTAAGAAAGGTCTTTACTTAAAGGTCAAGCCAAAATGGGAAAGATAAAAACAGTTGGAAACAGGCTTTTTTTTTTTTTTTCTTTTTTTTTTTAAGGGAGACTGGTTCTAAGTGGGGATTTGTTTCTGCTTTCAAAGTATCAAAAGTTCATGGTTTTAGACACAATTATTCTCTGAAACAGATGTGTAATTGAAGAAGTGCAGCACTGACCTTCAGTGCGGGCTCAAATTTAAATGGGAGGAAAATTACAAAGTACGTGGGGGTGCCATCCTCCCCCTTTCCAGCATGACCCAACCAAGTGCTCTGCTCCTTCATGGAACCAGCTCCCCACATGCTCTGTCCAGATTGCTAGGCCCAGCGTCCCATTTCCCAAAGGGACAGGTAGATTGGGGACTAGAGTAGCTATTTTTTAATTTTTAATTTTAGAGAGTGAGAGTGAGCGAGTGTGAGCAGTGGGGAGAGGGACAGCGGGAGAGGGGCAGAGAGAACCTGAAGTGGGCTCCACGCTGACACGGGGCTCAATCTCACGACCCTGAGATCATGACGTGAGCCCAAATCAGGAGTCGGACGCTCAAAAGACAGAGCTACCCAGGCGTCCCTAGAGTAGCTATTCTTGAACGTGTTATGGGCCAGATACCTGACCTTGCATAGGCATAATTAGTACAGTGCCCTTCTGCCAGAGGGAGGGATTACAGAGTCTGGCAGGTTGCTGGGGAGAACACCCAGGTTTGGGAAGCTCCCCAATTTTCCTAAAGCCCCACATGCAGGAGATTTCCAGGCTCCAGGCCATGCATCCTTATTTCATAATCAGATGAATGAAGAAGTGGGGATGCCGTATGGTGCTCTCCCAAGCCTTGGCCATGCTCTCCCATAGCAACCACAGCACCTTTGCTCATCACTCGATCTAATCAAACCCTCTCAGAAATCCAGTGGATTCACTACGTGGTATAAAAATGACACTTCAATATACCTAGCTTTGAAAGATGGTTTTGCCTGTCCGAGATTTATGGCAGGCAGTTAGTTAACTTCTCCAAGATTCATTGGTTCTAGTTACATTTTTGAAAAACTGCTTTATTGGTTGGTAAATAGTCACAATGTCCCTTCACGGACACCCCTATCTCACAAGCTCCTCCTCTGGGATCACCAGGACCTCCCACAGTTACAAGGTTAATTAATGCCCAGAGCAGCATTTATCCTCAGGATTCTGGTCCATTCTGATGGGCTGGTGCCCATGCAATCTCAGTTGTATTAATCCAGTGGGACTTGGCTCTCTGCATTTCCCTTCTCCCTGAGATCTGCCTCTTCCACTTCTCACCACCTCAGAAGCTCTCTGATGGCTCAAACATATTTCAATATTTGTCCAGCTCTTCTGGCTGCTCTTGGTGAGAGTAATGTTGTTCAGTAAGCTAGTCTATCACTACTGCAAGTAGGTGCCATCTATGCACTTTTTATGTGAGACAGATAAATCACCATTTAAGGGGCGCCTGGGTGGCTCAGTTGTTAAGCGTCTGCCTTTGGCTCAGGTCATGTTCCCAGAGTCCTGGGATTGAGCCCCGCATCAGGCTCCCTGCTTGGTGGGAAGCCTGCTTCTCCCTCTCCCACTCCCTCTGCTTGTGTTCTCTCTCGGTGTGTCTCTCTCTGTCAAATAAATAAATAAAATCTTTTTTAAAAAAATCACCATTTAAGCTGCTGAGAGTTGGGTTACTTGCAGCTCAATGAATTCCTAACTGATAAGCTTGCTATTGCCAGGACCATGTCATGTGTGAGGCCCACGCTCAGTTATCCGAGTAACAACTTGGGCATGTGGTCTAAACGAATGAGACTAGAAGCTTGGCTTGATTAGAGGAGAGAACCATAAAGAGCAGAATCTTACTTCAGGGTAGTCTGAGAAGGATAATTTGAATTTCTTCATTTTGGAAAAAAAAAAAAAGAGAGAGAGAGATCCATAACATGTACTCAGAGGATCAAAGGGTTATTAGAGAGAAAACTTTGGAAACTGCTGAGTGGTAATATTTCTAACCCAAGTTAATAACTTGCTGGAAACCCAAGAGGAAGGCATTTCGTCTTAGCTTTGCCATTAAGCACAAAGCCGAAGCTCTCGGAACATGATTTATAGCACTCAGAGCTCTGTGGATTTCATTATAAAGTACTAAATAAAGCTTGGCACCTCTCAAGGTGTCCCATAGCCTGGGCTATGGAGAGATAAGGGGCTTTTGCCAAGGTCAGACCGTTGGCAGCTGGGAGCGCACGGATATGAGTTGGTTAAAGAAGAAACACAACACAACACACACACACACACACACACACACGATATGGGTAGTTGGTCGGAACACGGTCTGATCTCATGCCTGCTGTGGCAGATTATAATTTCCAAAGATGGTCCGCTCAACATGTTCTTCTTATAATGGACATAGGTCCTCTCCCATCAAGAGGTGTGTGTGGGGGGGTCTCTCTCCCCGACTCTGCACCTGCTGGGCCTGTGACCATGAGGGAGGGGGAGGTCATAAAGGGCAATGCAACTTTCGCTTGGCCCTCACAGGATCCTTGAGCTGGGGATTGTGCTGCCAGCCCCATGGGAAAGCCACCATCGATGTTCTGGCCGCAAACCTAGCCGACCGTCAGCACTGACCAGCTAACATCAGTATCATTAGCAGCAGACATGGGGGGAGGGAGGCTTCAGAGGATGCCAGCCGTGAGCCTTTGAGCGGCTCTGGTGGAGCCATGTGGTGCGGACATGAGCTGTCCCTACGCAGAACAACCCAAACTGCAGGTTCACTGGCAAAAACACTAAGTTTAGGAGTGTTTATTTTAAAACACTAAGTTTAGGAGTGGTTTGCCTGGCAGCAATTGCTAGTTCTCCTTCCCTGCCTCGGAGTCTACTGCTAACAAGAGTGGCTCAGATATCACTCACGACAGAGAACGTACCTGAAGGCACAGAGTCTACCAATGCATTAGCTGATCCAAGTGAGTACAAGAAGGCACAGCTCTGGGTCTTCAGAAAGCCTCAATCTGGCATGAGGCCTGACTCTGTGGGGATGATTGGCAGAAATACTGCCTGTGGTTCTGGCCCTGACCTTTAAATGGTCCTGGTTTTACTTTCCCTGTTGGTGGCTTTGTTGAGAAACAATTCAAGATAAAAGTCAAGGGATACTTGGCAAAGACCACCAATGGATTCCCCAAATCTGTTTTCTCCTTCTTCCTTTAGGAGCAAGTTCCTGAATTTGAGCAGCTCATAGACCACTCAGAATAAAGATTCCCGCCGCAGGTGCATGCGATGTGCCACGCCACGCCTCCGTGGTCCAGCCAGTCTTGCTGCAGCTGTGGACATGGGTCCGTGCACTGGTCTTCTTAATTGTTTTCTCCTCTCTGCCATATTCATTTTTCTCCGCTTCTTTCTTAACGGAAAGAAAAATGCATGTAACCTAAAATTCACCATCTTAACCATTTTGAAGTGTATAATTTAGAGGCATTTAGCACATTCACAATGTTGTGCAATTGTAATTATGATCTAATTTTGGAGTGTATCACCCAAAAAGAATCCCTGTACCCCATTCTGTAGTTCCCCATTCTGCCCTGCCCCCAGCTTTTGGCAAACATGACTCTACTTTCTGTCTTTATGGGTTTGCCTATTCTGGACATTTTCTATCAGTGGAATTATGAAATATGTGGCTTTTTGTTGTCTGGATTTTTCACTTAGCATGATATTTTCAGAGTTTGTCCATGCTTTAGCATACATTAGTATTTTATGTCTTTTTTTGTGTTGTGTAGTATTCTATTACCACATTTTATTTATCTGTTGATTAGTTAATGGACATTTAATTTGTTTCCACTTTGGGGCTTATATAAATATTCACATGCAAGTTTTTGTGTGGACATATGCTTTCATTTCTCTTGGGTACCTACATAGGTCTTATAATCATACTATGTTTAGCTTTTTGACAACAGCCAAAATGTTCTTCACAGGGCTGTACCATTTTACTTTCTGACCAGCAATGTATTAATGTTCCAATTTCTCCACATTCTTTCCAACACTTATTATTATTATTATTGTATTAGAGCCATCCTCATATATATGAAGTGGGATTTCATTGTGGTTTGGTTTGCATTTCCCTTATAACTAACAACACTGAGCATCTTTTCATGTGCTTATTTGCCATTTGTCTGTCTTCTCCAGAGAAATATTCAAGGGTTGTGCTCAGTTTTCAATTGAGAGGTTTATGGTTTTGTAGGATTTTCCCCCCTATATTCTGGCTTCTGGACTCTTAGCAGATACATGATTTGCAATTATTTTCTCCCATTAGATGGGTTGTCTTTAAAATTTATTAGTAGTGTCCTTTAAGGCACCAAAGTTTTCCATTTTAATGAGTCAAATTTATCTCTTTTCTATGTTATTGTTTGTGTTTTGGTGTCTTACTTAAGAAACCGTGACCTAATACAAGATCATGGAAATTTAGATCTATGTCTCTGATAAAACAAAACAAAACAAAACAAAACAAAACAAAACAAAACAAAACAAAACAAACAAACAGCTAGTTTGGGTTGCTGCATAGGTATTTTATAGTATGACAACCTTGCTCACACCCAAAGTCTGGACATTTAGATCAGGACCTGAGTTTAGGATTTGTGCCCCCAAGTTCCCACTTTGTTTTCCTGGGGCACCTTTTAAAACAACCACTTAGAGTTGAGCCTGCAAAAGGTTAGTGACTTCTGCCCCAACCACCTTGTAAGTAATAAGTGCTTGCTACACTGTTCTTTATCTCCTGCTCACTCCTGACCTGGGATGGAGGACTGCCCTTCCCCAGCTCACTGCACACTCCTGGCCCTGCTTCTGTGACATGTAAGTAATTAATGTTGTGACTTTACTTTCTTCGTTTGAGTGTATTGAAACTGCCTTCAATCAAAAAGACCCACGGGTTTTCACTTCCCCAAAGTGGAAACTCAGATGCTGAGGAAGCTACTGGCTGACCTTGTGTTGATAGCTTGTGCCTCCCCATTCAGCAGGTCATGATCTGCATATTTTTCATTTAATACATCATCTATAGGCCCTCCCCCGACATAATTTCCTTTTAAGAGTTTTATCTCTTTTATTTGGATCTTTGATCTATTTACGTTAATTTTTGTATATGGTGTGAGGTAGGAGTCCAAATTCATTCTTTTGCATGTAGGTATTCGCTTGTCCCAGGATTATTTGTTGAAAATAATATTCTTGGGGCACCTGGGTGGCTCAGTTGTTAAGTGTCTGCCTTAGGCTGGGGTCATGATCCCAGGGTCCTGGGATCAAGCCCCACATCAGGCTCCCTGCTCAGCGGGAAGCCTGCTTCTCTCTCTTCCACTCTCCCTGCTTGTATTCCCTCTTTCACTGTCTCTCTGTAAAATAAATAAATAAAATCTTAAAAAAAAAAAAAGAAAATAATATTCTTTCACCACTGAAAGATCTTGGCACCTTTGCTGTAATTCAATTGGCTATAGATGTTTGAGTTTATTTCTGGACTCTCAGTTTTATTCCATTGATCTATGTCTACCTTTATGCCACTAATACAGTTTTGATCACTGTATCTTTATAGTAAGTTTTGAAATCCGGAAGTTGAGTCGTCTAACTTTGTTTTCCTTTTTCAAGATGATTTTAGCTATTTGGATTACCCTACAATTTCATAAAAAATTTAGGATCAGCTTGTCTATTTCTGTCAAAAATGCAGTTGGAGGGACACCTGGGTGGCTCAGGTGGTTAAACATCTGCCTTTGGCTCGGGTCTGATCCCTGGGTCCTGGGATCGAGTCCCGCGTTGGGCTCCTTGCTCAGTGGGGAGCCTGCTTCTCCCTCTGCCTGGTGCTCCCCCTGCTTGTGACTGCTCTTTCTCTGACAAATAAAAAATAAAATCTGTTTAAAAAATGCAGTTGGAATTTTGATAGGAATCAAATATGTAGATCAGTTTTGGTAGAGTTGCTGTCCTAAGAATATTAAATCTTCCAATCCATGACCATGAGTTTTTTTCCCCTTTTTGTACATCTTCTTTAAAATCTTTAAACAAGGGGCGCCTGGGTGGCTCAGTCGTTAAGCGTCTGCCTTGGGCTCAGGTTATGATCCTAGGGTCCTGGGATCAAGCCCCGCATCAGGCTCCCTGCTTAGCAGGAAGCCTGCTTCTCCTTCTCCCACTCCCCCTGCTTGTGTTCCTGCTTTCACTCTCTCTCTCTCTGTCAAATAAATAAATAAAATCTTTAAAAAACAAATCTTTAAACAATATTTTGTAATTTGTAAAGGTTTTGCAATTCCTTAGTTATTTATTCCTAAATATTTTATTCTTTTTGATGCTATTATAAATGGAATTATTTTCATAATTTTATTTTGATTTGTTCATTGAAAGTATATAAAGAAATTGATCTTGTATCCTGCAACTTTGCCAAGCTCATTTACTAACTTGAACACTTTGTTCATGAATTTTTAAAAAAGTGTTTCTATATGTAATATCTTGTCCTCTGTGAGAAGAGTTTTATTTTTTCCTTTCTACCCTGTTTTTTTCTTGCCTACTTGGCCCTGGCTAGAACTTCCAGTACAATGAATAGAAGTGGGGAGAGTAGACATTTTTGTCTTTTTCCTGATCTTGCAAGGAAAGCATTCAGTTTTCCTCACCATTAAGCATGATGTTAGCTGTGGGTTTTTCACTGATGCTCTTTATTAGTTGAAGAGGTTCCTTTCTATTCCTAATTTGTTGACTATTTTTATAATGAGAGAGTATGGTATTCTGCCAAATGTTTTTTTTCTGCCTCAATTGGTATGATCATGTGATATTTTCCTTCATTCTATGAATATGGTGTATTTTATTGATAGATTTTTGTTATGTTGAATCACTCTTGCATTCCTGGAGTAAATCCAGTTGGGCATGGTGTATAATTATCTTCATATGCTGCTGAATTCAGTTTGCTAGCATTTTGTTAAGGATTTTTTCATCTATATTTATAAAGGATATTAGTGTGTAGTTTTTTTTATTTGTGGTGACTTTTTCTTTGGTATCAGAATAATACTGGTTTCATAGACTGAATTAGGAAGTATTTCTTCCTCTTACATTTTTTAGAAGATTGTGAGAAAAATTGATGTTCATTCTTCTTTAAATATTTAGTAGCATTCACCAATGTAGCCATCTGGTCCTGAGATTTTCTTTGTTGGAAATTTTGTTTTGTTAAATGATTCAATCTCCATACCAGTTGTCGGTCTATTTGGATTTTACATGCTTTCTTCAGTTAGTTTTGGTAGTGTGGATTTCTTGGAATTTATCCATTTCATTTAGGTTACTTAATTTGTTGGCACAGAGTTGTTTATAGTATTCTCTAATAATTCTCTTTATTACTCTCAGGCTGGTCATAACATCCCCACTTTCTTTTAAGATTTTAGTAGTTTGAATCTCCTCTCTTTCTCTCTCTCTCTCTCTTTCTCTCTCTCTCTCTGTCAGTATAACCAAAGGTTTGTCAATTCTCTTGATCTTTTTCAAAGAATCAATTTTTGGTTTCATTGTTTCACTCTAGAGTTTTTCTATTCTCTATGTCATTCACTTTCATCTAATCTTCCTTATTTCCTTCCTTCTGTTTTCTTTGAATTTAGTTTGCTCTTCCCTTTCTAGTTTTTAAGGTAGAATGTGAATTTGAGGTATTTCTTCTTTCTTGAGGTAGGCTTTTACAGTTATAAATTTCCCTGTAAAAACTGCTTAACTGCATCCCTTATGCTGTGTTATGCCTTCATTTTCATTCATCTCAAAACATTTTCTAATTTCCCTTGTGATTTCTTTTTTGACTCATGGATTATTTAGGAATGCATTGTTTAATTTCTCTGTATTTGTCAATTTCTCACGTTCCTTTCTGTTACTAATTTCCAATTTCAATCCATTGTGATCAAAGAACATAATTTGTATGATATCAATTCTTTTAAATTTACTGAAGCTTGTTTTATGGACTAACTTGTGGTCTTTCCTGGAGAATGTTTCATTGCTTGAGAAGAATTTATTGTTCTTATGTTTTGGGGTTGTCAGTTAGGTCTAGGTTGTTAAAAGTGTTGGGTAAGTTTTATATTTCCTGTTTATTTTCGGTCTGGTTTTTCTGTCCATTATTGAAAATGGGGCATGAAGCATCCAATTATGACTGTTGAATTTCCTATTTCTCCCCTCAGTTTTGTCAGCCTTTGTTTCACATATTTTGAAGCTCTGTTGTTAGGTGCATGTGTGTTTGTAATTATTGTAACTTCTTTATGGATTGACCCTTTTATAAATATAAAATGTCCCTATATATGTGTGGTAACATATTTTTCTTTTAAGGTCTCTTTTATCTTATGTTAGTGTAGCCATCCCATCTCTCTGATGGCTGTTATTTGCTTATATTTTTTTCCATCCTTTTACTTTCAACCTATTTGTATCTTTGACTCTAAAGCAGGTCTCCTGACACTGAAACTAATATAACACTGTATGTTAATTATGCTTCAATAAAAAAATACAGTATGTCTCCTATAGACAACACATAGTTAGGTCATGTCTTTTTATTCATTCTGCTAGTCTCTGTTTTTTTTTTTATTGGATTGTTTAATCCATTCACAATTAATATTATTATTGATACATTTGGATTTATGTCTGCCATTTTACTTTTTGTTTTCTATATTACTCATGTCTTTTTTGTTCTTCTATTTCTTCTTTACTGCTTTCTTTTGCATTAAGCAAATACTTTCTAGCATAACATCCTAATTTCTCCAAGAATTTTT